AAGGAACGATGTGAGGCTTATTGGTCTGAAGGATTTGGGGTCTGTCCCATCCTTCCTGCCTGCCTTTGGAATGAAAGTGACTCTTGCCCTTCTCCATATTTGAGGTATATATTCCATCGCCATATTGCTTCTGGTTATATTTACAAGGTGCGGCATGATCTCTGTTTTTCCTCTTTTTAGGAGTGCCGGAAAGATCTCATCTACTCCTAGGGATTCGAGATGCTCGAATGTGTTCAATGCCCATTCAAGCCGCTCATTAGTGAGTATCGTTTTAGCTGTTTCCCAGTCCTCCCTAGTGGGCCGTCTGGAGTTCGCTCTTTCCTCACTTCTGTTTTTTGGCCTACTACCTGGAAAGTTTTTGCTCGAAAGAAGGAGCGCACGCTCCTCCTCGCCTTCCGTGTAGGTACATACCATCTATCTTTTTCAAAGCCATTGTCGAACTTGTTCCCTCTTTGGCTATTGCCTTGTGCAGTCTAGCGGCGACTGGAGTCGAGGTGATGTTTTCACAAAAGACCTAAGTTGTTTCTTTTTGCCTTCCTGATTTCTTTGTTATACTGTGTGAGAGCTCTGTGTAACCCTGCCACTCCCCGGTCCTCCTTGCTGTGTTAAATGAACACCGAGCTTGAGTCCGGTTTACATTCCACCATGGGGCCCCATTCGAGTGGCTTTTCGAATCCGTGGGGCAGCTAGAGTCAAATGCCTCTATTACTGCCTGATTGACGCGCTCTACTTTCTCTTCCAGTTCTAGGTGATGACCTATTCCCGGGTTGATCACTTTTAAGATTTTCTTCCAGATTGGCTCTGTATAATTCCCAATTTGCTCTCAACGGGTTTCTCTTGAGTCTTGCTTTGGAGGTGTTTACTTCTAAGCTGAACTCTATAATCCTGTGATCAGACAGGGAGAGTTCAGACGAGAACCTCCAGTTTTTCACATAGTTCGTCATTTCAGAACTACCAAATGTTATATCTAGTACTTCCTCCCTTGCCCTTGTTACAAAAGTGGGTGTATTCCCTTTATCGTTAAAAACTCAGTTAAAAACTACCGATGTAAGTATATAGAAGAACAGGATTGGGGATAACGGCTGGATTTTTTACGTTTTCTTCGTTACGTTAGTAATAAAGAATTATTTTAGAAAAATAAACTTTACCCGCTATCTAAAGAAGAGAAAATATATAGGAGAAAATCGAAAGATATGGAGTGGAGTGGAACACCAATTTTAACTAACTGTAAAAATTTCAAAACAGGACCTTATTTTGAGAAAAATATTTATTTAATGGCCTTTTATATCGTTTATTTATCCACGTTTTGAAAAACAACATTACTTGTCGTTTTGGTATGAGAAGGAAAGAATATTAAGCGGTCTAGATTATTTGATTATTGCAACCTAAGAAATTATTATCAGCTGAGAAAATATCATTATAAAACAACTAGGAACCCAGAGGAGTGGCGACAGTGTGCATCTGAGATTACCAAATTATTAAAAATATTATTTGTAATATAATTATGAAGTCCGATCGTTTCTATTAATAAGTAGGAAGTAGGAATATGCCAGGAAAATATCTGGAGAGTGACCAACAAAATAGGAAACTGAGAATTCTGATTATTTGTATATTATATATAAAATTATTATTGTCAACACTCCACTGGTAGAACGGATTTATTATTGAAAATATATTACTAGCTCCATCTATCCGTGAATACTTAAGGTTTGATATTACTTTTAAAGAAGGGTACTTAGGTAGGTACTTTTTAAATTATTTAAATTGAATTTTGATTCATTAACTTTTTACTCATTTTATAAACCAAATTCCAAACTCCATCTATGTCATACTTGCAATTCAAATAGTACCTTCCTAAGTACCCTTCTTTAAAAGTAACATCAAACCTTGAGTATTCACGTCTAGATGGAGCTAATATAATAATAATACAATGATAATACCTTAGAGCAGTAGTCCTACAGCCGTATTCATAGTCAATCGCCAGCGAGTCGCCGTATTTGGCCAACACACGGCGACCCCCTGGCGACTCGCTGGCGATTGACTATGAATACGGCTGCTAGAGTCCTAGCGGTACGTCAAAAAATCTTGCAAATTGTGATAAAAGCAACAAACTTGGTAAACATGCTTTTAAGACAAAAATAAAACATTTTGCCCGCAGCACCCATCAAAATTCTCATGTGGGCCCATTTTTGGGTCCTTGGTGGGCCCATAGTGGGTCCTAATTTGAAAAAAGATTTATCGACCAATTTCAATGGAAAGAAACTAATTTTTCGAGTAATTTGGGGATGGTGAATTCAAATGTATATCTATTAATAAGTTTCAAATAACGTCTGAACCACGAACCCCTAGAGGCAACCTGTATTTATTTTTTATGTTTACTTAAATCAATATTGGTTAAGAATTTCCTCTTCCGGATCCAGTTGCGATCTAATCTGAATTTTCGCAAAACAAAAAAAAAATGAATTTAGCTTTCTTTTCATTTTCAAAAAAATAATTGTACAATCAGAAAGTTCACCTCTGATTTGAGCAATCGGCCATACAAGTCTTACATGCTGGAGTACATACCAAATTGTATCATCTATATAACAACAGCGCATATATAGTCCCACAATCTGTTATGCACCCACATCTACCAAGCTCTTTGAGAGCCAACCAAACTGGCTGAAGTTCAGACCACAATGGAACCAGCAAATTCTCAGATTTCTTCCAACCCCATTCCATAGGCCCCATATATGGCCAGCTTGATAAGATGCCCTTTCAGTATGCTCTTTTAGTGCTGAAGAGGACATAGAAATTAGTGTGACAGGTTTGTCGCCACAACAAAACATCTCCTTTCTTGCTTTATCAATACTCAGTGCATGATTGAGGATCATACATTTTAACTGTGAATTCTTCAAGCGCTTGTATATTCATTTCAGAGAGTTGTTCCTCAAGAGGAAAAGGCTGTCCCATCTTTGAAAATGCGGCAGTAATATGATCCCCTGTCCAAGCCCCCCCCCCGCGCTTTTTTTTCCGTTTAGAAGTGAAAAAAGAAACCGAGTCACACCCTGTGAAGGCTTAAAATCTACTAAGAGCTGCAGCCTTTTCTACTCCAAAACCATTCGCTATATTGTGAACTGCTATGTACCTTCGCTTGGATCCAACACTAAACTGAATCCACAGTTCTTTTAGTCCATAAGTTGACAGCGAATGGTGAAATGACACAGCAATAACTAATACATCAGTATCTGGGACAGCCTTTTCCTCTTGAGGAACAACTCTCTGAGGGTCGGTTTATTCACCTTCTGATAAACTCTCTCAGGTATGCAATCTGAGGGATAAGCACAATCTGTAATCCCATTGGTCAGCCAGGTATCCGCCGACCAATAGAATTGAAGAATGGTTTAATTATCTTGCAGATAGTTACCAGCAAGTTTATCTGAAGATAAATAAACCAGGCCTAAAATAAATATGCAAGCGCTTGAAGAATTCACAGTTAAAATATATGATCCTCAATCATGCACTTCGAGTGTTGATACAGCAAGGAAGGAGATGTTTTGTCGTGGCTACAAACCTGTCACACTGATTCCTCCGTCCTCTTCAGCACTAACTAAAAGAGCATATTAAAAGGGTATCTTACCAAGCTGTCCATTTATGGGGCCAAGCACATAAATATCGATTGTGAGCCGTCTCCCATGGAATGGGGTTGGAAGAAATCTGAGAATTTGCTGGTTCCATTGTGGTCTGAACTTCCGCCAGTTCGGTTGGCTCGTAGAGAGCTTGATAGATGTGGGTGCAAAACAGATTGTGGGACTATGCGCTGTTGTTGTAGACAATACAATTTGGTATGTACTCCAGCATGCAAGAGTTGTATGTCGAGTTGCTCAAACCAGAGGTAAACTTTCTGATCGTACAATTTTTATTTTTTTTCCGAAAATCTAAATACATATTTGTTTTTATTTTTAGATCGCATCTGGATCCGGAAGATGAGACCCGCAACCAATATTGATTTTAAGTTAACATAAAAATTATTACAGGTAACTGCCTCTGGAGGTTCGGGATTCAGCCGTTATCTGGAATTAATTAGTAGCTATGAATTTGAATCCGCCATTCCCAAATTACTCGAAAATTATTTTTTTTTCCATTGAAATTGGTCGAAATTTATTTTTTTTCAAATTATGAGCCACTATGAGCCCACCAAGGACCCATAAATGGGCCCACATGAGAATTTTGATGGGTTGATGGGTGCTGTGGGCAAAATGTTTTATTTTTGTCTCAAAAACATGTTAACCAAGTTTGTTGCTTTTATCACAATTTGCAGGATTTTCTCAAATATTGAGGTGTACCGCTAGCACTACAGGTAAAGCGCTGTCCTACGGACATAAGGAGTAGGAATGCGCCATTCTGCTATGAAACTAAAGTGAAGCCAAGTTTCTGGCAGGTGTTTGGCACCAAATACAGGTAAAGCATTGAATTGCCTATCTATACCTCCATTTTTTGGTGCACGTTTTTTTTTCAATTTGTTATGATGAATGTGCATTTAAATCCTATATTCATCTTTGAAATTAGCAAGGGGTAAGCCAGAAAATGGTGGCGTTTTCTATATAAATATAAGTAAAGGATTTTGAAGAACCAATCAAAAATAAGACGGCAATTGTCGGAACTGTGGTAGTTTCCTATTTTGTCGTTCACTCTCCAGATATTTTCCTGGCATATAACTACTTCCCACTTATTAATAGAAATGATTGGGGTGTACAAGTGTACAGTGTTCTCCTTTGTAATTGTTAAGCTGATGATGGGATTCTTATAATCCCAAAACATGTCCTAGTAGTTTTCCAACAAAGACACAAATGAAAAAGTTAGTGGAGAATACTAAAGTTTTGTGTTTGTAATTATGTTATTCATTAATAATTAAGCATTTGCATTTAAGAACGATTTTAGTCATATTATCAACTAAAAGTTATTAAACTAGAAGAAGCTCAATGCTACATGATTTACTGCTACATGCTACATTTACTTACCGGCGAATTATTACTGGTTGAGTTGTGAACATTGCGAATAGTAGCAGTTTGAGTGGCCTGAAACAAACAAAAAAATCACCATAACCATATAGAATTGAAAAAGCAAAATAAAAAAATTAACATAGGAAACTGTTTTGGGCCCTTTGCTGTTTAATGCGTACAGGGTATTTTATACTATTTAACGTTATCAGAAAAAACAAAAACGCTCGCAAAAACGCATCGGAAAATGGAGAAACGTAGACAAATTCGACTTCTTTTAATGGAACACCTCTCGGAACACCCTTTATATTATGCAATGAAATGAAAGATCTTTTCTTCCTGATTCCAAATACATACATATTTAGGTTTGTTCCAACCCGTCAAAAAACCGTCCCAGAACGGTTTCGGAACCACTCTGTATACGAATTTCGGTTTCTGTGCAAAAATTTTGCGCAGTCTATTTTTTACTTTTTTTATTTTTGTTTTATTTTTTAAAGACGACTGAAAACGACTGATTTTTAGTTTTTAAGGCAATAATAATAATGGTAGATTGTGATAGGAACAGTATTGTTGTAATGTAGTACTTAAGGCATTTAAAAGATTTTTTCTCATGTTATGATTATGACATAGTATAAGTACTGATGTTAGTTAATAAGGCTGCTTTGTCAATAACAATTTAGTTGAGACAATAAAGCATAATTTGATTTGATTTGATTTGAATCCTGACGGTAATATTACGGTTTCCTGCTGGGTTGGAACAAAGCTATTGATCACATTTATGTGAGCAATTTTTGAGATAGCTTAAATTATGAATAAATTGCAAAGAAATTTTATAAAGATTGTATCTCTTGACATCCTTATGAAATTTCTTTGCAAATTATTTATAATTTAAGCTAAGATATGTCAAAAATAGCTCACGCAAATGTGATCAATATACAGGGTGTTTGGTACATCGATAAGAATATTTCAATGAGTGATAGTTGAGGTCATTTGGAAGCTGTTTGACCATATTTACCCCAATGAAAAGTTTCGCCGTTTTTTGAGATATCGCCATTTTTAGATATGTAGTTTGAATCCATGTATTTTGACACATAACTTGGGCTACATATTTTTTCTATCAATCATTCGGTTTTGCTTTCCGTATTTTTCGGAAGAGTGCAGTAGGAATATCGGAAAAAAAAACTGAGAAAGGGTAAAGTGTTTACTACAAAAAAAAAACAATATGTTTTAGGAACAATTCAAGAATATCTAAAAATGCTGATATCTCAAAACAACGAAACTTTGCATAAAGGTAAATGTGGTCAAACAGCTCCCAAATGACCCCAACTATCACTCATTGAAAACTTCCTAGCGATGTACCAAACACTCTGTATATAATATATTTGGAATCGGGAAGAAAAGATCTTTCATTTTATCGCATCAAAAAAAGTCAAAGTTGTCTACGTTTCTCCATTTTCCGATGCGATTATGTTTTTTATGGTAACGTTAAAAAAAAATATAGAAAAGTTTTGTATTTAATTCTTTTTTTCCATCTCAAATAGTAAAGGCTGTAGGTATGGGCTTGAATATAATCAACCCCGTATAGTCGCCTCCACAGATATTCGAGACTGCGGTTTTTGAGACAAGCTTACTACAAGTTTTGCTTAAGGATGTTCTAAAACTATGTTTATCAAGTTTTGTTGTTCTCAAGGCCGCAAAATATGATATTTTTCCGGTTTGGTCCATTAAATTTTGAAAATTTGTTGTGATCACCCTGTATCATATTGGAACAAAAATTAGTACATTTGGGTTTTAGACCATTCTAAACAAGAATCTGTTATCAGATTTTTTCTAAAAAAATCCCTAATAGTACTTATAGAAATTTGAGCCTATAGATGTGGACACCCTGTACACCAATACAGCCGCAGAAATCAAATTATGAGCCAAATAAGACCCAAATTCGAGTAGATATAAGACAAAAAGAAAAAAAATTGAATCGGTTGAAAAATAAAAATTTTAGAAGGGTGATCAGTCCTTAAGCGGGACACACTGTATATTTATCTAAAAGAACCCAAATGCTTAGAAATAATAATTCCATATCATCATCCCTAACAATCAACACAGGGGTTCCACAAGGTTCTGTCCTAGGACCTGTTTTATTCTTGATGTATGTTAATGACCTTTTTAAATTGCGACTTGAATGTCTGTTTACTGGTTTTGCAGATGATATTACACCTCTTTGGCACCATAAAGACCCACAGATCTTAAAAAGCATGGTGTGAATCAAATTTTCTAAGTTTTAATACTGTGGGAAAACGGAAGGGTAGATTGAATATGCGCTTGATAGCCCTATTTTGCAGGACACACAATGGGTGTAATTTATTGTTGGAAGCATTTCCCCACAGCAGTGTTAGGTATGACAGACGGGAGTATATTAGAGCATTGTAATTTGTAAATCATTTGTGATGTAATATTGGCAAGAATTTTGCCACTGTGCCTAGGATACCAACTGCTGGTGCGATTTTTTTTCACAAAAGCAAAATATGCTGTTCCCAATTGAGCCAATGTAAAGTCCCAAATACTTGATACGATAACTGCGCTGAAGTGGTTGACTTTGAAATGTTATCACTAAGTCTAGCCGAAACGACCTGGAGATAATAGAGGACTGGGGTCACAAAAACCTTGTACAGTTCAACGCGCAGAAAACCCAAGCAGCTCTGTTTTCAAAAAAGACCAGCACCGGTGAGCCAAACATCATGCTATCTGGAAGTGCTGTCACATTACAGAGTCAGTTGAACATCTTGGGGGTTACTGCAGAGACCAACATGTCTTGGCACAGTCACGTGGCAGATATTGCTAAAAGGGCGTCCCAAAAGCTGGGGGTGCTATTTCGTACAAGACATCTGTACACACCAAGCCAATTGCTGACACTCTACAAAGCCCAGATTCGACCAACTATGGAGTACTGCTCACATATATGGAGTGCAGCACCCAAACATACCTTAATGCTTTTGAACACCGTGCAAAAACGAGCTATCAAGCTGATCAATGACCCCGCACTTACTCGTAACTTGGATGGTCTCGAACATCGCAGATCTGTGGGCGATTTATCTCTCTTCTACAGGTACTATCACGGAAAATGCTCTGAAGAGTTGGCACGTATAATTCCACCGAGAGTAGCGCCTACCAGGCGAACCCGTCAAACAGACGGTAACCATGAATTTACTGTCAAACTAGAGGCACCAAGAACCTCATTATATCAGAATTCATATCTCTGGAGAACGGAATAAACTCCCTGCGACGGTTTTCCCTGCAGGTTACAACCTGAACCGTTTCAAGACCAACATACACCGACATTTCCGCGCACTTGCCGCTTCTCGAGCGTGATAGGACATTTCCTTGCGAGTGCGCATATCCGTAAAAAAAAAAAAAAAATCATCACCTTTTGTAATAACCATGTAACAAGATTTTTCTACATTTAGACTTAACTCATGAAAACATACCCAGTCGCTCACTGTCTCTAAGTACCGCTCAATGGCATCTTTTAAGCTAAGCACATAGTGGAGCGGCGAGCAGAGCAGCGGGCAGCGCAGAGAGCAGAGCGTCGATTGAGCAGAGAGTGGATGAAAGAATTGTAGGTATGCACATAGTGGCGAGTTATTACTCAAGTGAAAAAGATAAAAATGAATAATTTGGTTTTCACCGAAACGTCGTCTTTAAAAATTTTGGTATTTAATGAGAAGACAGAAAGAAAAAAAGAAGGTGTAGTGCACACCATATAAACAAAAGCAAACTTCGATTAGGCGAATATCACCATTTATATGAGGAATTACGGCAACATCCAGAAAAATTTCACTCTTATCTTTTAACGAATATTAAAACTTTTGATTACATTTTGGAGAAAATAGAACAAAGATTGGTAAAAAAATGGACTAACTTTACCATAATCCCAGTTGGTCCAGCAGCAATCAATTGATAATATAATACATTTTTCACTTGATTGTTGACTTCATTTCTCTTGCTGCATCATCTCACAACTTATCTAATATGTATTGGTTATGATGTTGGGTATCTTTTTGGTTCCACAATGGATTTTTAACAAAAATACTACTTATTAATTGTTCAACGTCTATTTTTACAACACAGAGACAAACGAGCAAAGTAGAAAAATCAAACTTGCTTGAACGCGTCGCTTTGCTCGATATTAACAGCGCTGCTAAATCTCCGCACTGTTCTTCACTATGTGTCAAACAATTTAATCTCGTGTGTTAGTTTTCGCTGCTTTGCTATCCTCACTGCTCACTACTTTGCTCGCCGCTCCACTATGTGCTTACCCTTACTTCAACTAGACCACTACCAGAATATAACTGCTTACGAAGTAACGATTTTCTGACTATAACTTCAAGAAAAGGAACCAAGTTGGGACAAAAATAATAGAAAACTTTGCATCAGATCATACATTAAAACAAATATTTTTGAAACAAGAGTAAATAAACCATGGACTCCAGAATATAAAAGATTATTCACTGCAGAAAACAAGAATTATTTTTTTTGACTGCTTAAGAGATCAGAACTGGGAAAATGTGTACACCGCTACTAAACATGATGTCAATGTTCAATGAGTTGCATGCTCAAGTTGACCCAACTAAGTTAGAATCTTACCTACCTCTCTACCCCTGCTTACCTGTATTTTCCACTGAGATATCTAGTTGTGGGTTGTGGTAAATTTGACAACTTTGACTTTTCAACGTAGTATGTATTTGTTGATCAACTTATTAGAATTGCGCATATGAATAAACAACTTAGCTCAGCTAAGAAACTAACCGAGGGGCAGGTCACTCCATAAATAGGTGTACAAATTCGATAAATGTATTTATTTGAATACAAATAAATACGAAAATACATGCTTAAATACATTTAAATCAAATAAATTTAAATATAAATAAATACATTTAAATATAAATAAATAGAATTAGATTCGGATAAATAGATTGAAATACAAATAAATCTTCGATTTTCCCCCAAAATTTTGGGACAAAATACATATAGTCCTGCCGACCTGGCCATAGACAAGCATGAACAAGATTTTATTCAGTGAT